CTTAGGAAATTTGAATCTTGTAGAATGGGAAGGCTGTCTAACACTTGCCCCAGAGAGAGACATTATCTTTATTATGCTAGACACTAAAAAACCCTTCCCTTTGCTCTGGAGAGAGACACCATATCTTCCATGGCTGTTCACTACATAAACATGCTTGTGAAGTGGTGGATTAATGGGTACAAAACTATACGATCTACCTAAAGTGAATCATTGTGCAGTATATGCATGTATTGAAACAACACACTGTACCACGCAGATATGCATAAGTAAATGTTAAAATTTTTTTAAATAAAATAAATGACAATACAATAAGTCAGAAAATTTTTTAAAAACATAGTCCAGAACAAAGGTCAGTTACTGCCTCACTCACAAGATATACAGAAACATGAGAGATCCCTGCAGAACTGTCTCCAAACATCCAGATCTTGGTGTCTAAATCCCATCCCCCACTTTTAAACAAATAAAAATGGACTCCTTTGATAAATGGCTGATTATGAATTTAGGGCAGGAAAAGTTCAAGGTGAATTTGGAATATACTATTTTTGTCAGAAAGTAAGGAAATCCTAAAAAATTGGAGACATTCAAAGGAAAACAGGAGTCAGGACAATTTGAGCACAAGAAAGAATAATTACGGAATGGATTAAATGTAAAAAGGAACCACAAAGCCAGAATGATACTTTAAAAAGTTGAAGGGGGCTGACCGGTTAGCTCACTTCGTTAGAGTATGGTGCTGATAAGACCAAATGAGTCCTTATACTTATAAGTTATTATAGTAAAGTGGCAGAATACAAGGTTAATAATCAAGTCAATTGCATACACACGAAAAGTAAAAACAACATACCAAATGCATTTCAAAAAATAAAATAATTAGGTATAAATTGAACAAAATACAAGATCTATATGAGAAAAACTATAAAACTCTGAAGAAAGAAATCAAAGACAATCTAAATAAATGGAGAGATATTCCATGTTTATGTATAGTCTAGCAAATTATTTTGTGGATATTGACAAACTGATCTGAGAGTTGATATGAAAATGCAAACATCCCAGAATAGCCAAATGAAAAAAAAAAAAAAAAAAAAAAAAGGTGGAGGGAGCTCATCTTCACAGAAAAATCCCCGCTGATAGTGTAGAAACAATGGGGGGAAAAATGAGAAAATAGGTACAGATCATCAATGGATGCCAAAACATTTGGTTAAAAATGTTGGAATGATACTTTGAGGAACACAGCCTCAAAGTATCATTCCAAAGATTGCTTATTGATTAAGAATGGAAAAAGTAACTTGTAAAGTGAAGAAATCTGACAAGCTCCACATTAACCAAGTAATTAAACTTAACATCAACAGTGATGAAGCAAATTGGCATTATATGACTCCCGGTGGAGTGCACTGAAAGCGGTATCACCTATGTAGTATTCATGTCAAAAGATGTTTAACTTGAAACCAGTCATGAGGAAACTAAGATAAATCTAAATTGTGGACCATTGTATAATGGTCCCGGACTCCTGGCAAATGTCAATGCCAAGAGGAAAAAAAAAAGACTGGTAGATGTTCAAGATGAAAGATTAAAGAGACATGAAAACTAAATGCACAAATAATAGTTGGTTGGCCCCTGGTTTTTCTAAAAAACTATTAAAATGTTATGGAAAAACTTGGAAATTTGAAATCGTAGACCATTTATTAGATAATAGTGTATCAGTAGTATTGTGATAATGGTATTGTGGTTATGTAAGAAAATGCCCTTTTTCTTTAGAAACACATGCTAAAATATTAGGAATAAAGCAACATGATATCTGCAACTTTTAAGTGATTTGGAAAAACACAGCATGAATGCAAAAAAATGTTAATCGATGAATTCTAGGTGAAGGGCACCTAGGTGTTTATTGTACTGTTGCAACTCCCCACAGAATTGCAATTTTTCAAAACAAAAAGTTGAGAAAAAAATTAATAAATCACATTCCCTGGCCATCTTTTCAAACTGTAGTCTTGATCCCTTATAAACTTTCAGTCCATTCATCTTTAGTATTATTTAAATTATCTCTGTGGAAACACTTGCTGGTTTCCTTATAATTTTATTATAGAGTACTATCCAAAACTGTGCATGGAGTTCTGCTACAAGAGCACCATGATTCTGACCTAGGATATATAATTTACTTTGTATCCAATATCAGCATTTTGCATTAATCTTAAATTTCTAGACTATCCACATTGAGATTATATCTTAATTGATTCCCAGGTCCTTCGCCTGGTTCATAACTGATACACATATATGTACATCAATTTTTCATGTATATTCCATCACTGAAACTAATATGCCTTTTTTGTCCATTTGTATAGTTATCAGTTTATTTTGTAGCCATTAGAATTTCCAAAAATAGCTTAGTGACAAGTGATATCTTCACATGTGTCGCTGCCTATGCCTGATTTCTATCAATTATAAATTGTTAAACCCATTCAGCTTTACCTTTGCTTTTGGAGGCCCCTACTGATCACAATTCTCTTCCCAGAGACTTTTTGGTTTATGTCTCTAAGACTTGTCTTTATGCCTTTTATATTGTATACCCCCCCATCTCCTTTTCTCATGGTAACATTGATGGGAAATTTC